AAACCAGCCAACACATGTACACCCTTTAACAATACACACACACGCACATACTTTGCTGTAAATATGTATATTTTCGTATTTTTCATTTGACCATCAGGTGTACGCCCGTAGCCCTAAGCTCGTTTATGCCTTGTCTACGTTTTGGCATTGTCAAAATGTTAACATTTGAAAATGTCACAACAAAAACACGAACTTTATTACCAAAATATTAGCAGCAACAACGTGGCCTGGTATGAGCATGTGCAAGCAGCACGTGCCACAAACAAACGACGACACACACAAGCGTAGTAAGAAAAGACTGGCACCGACAATTGCAGCCGAGAAGTGGGTCAATTTGCAGCAGCAACAACAGCAGTGAGCAATTGAAAATGACATAAATATGTCAAATTGCACCTGTGCGCATGCATGTATGCGTGTGTGTGTGTGTGTGTCGAAATTTTTCTCAACTATCAACAGCTGACTGGTAATGTGCCAAGTCGCCTTTAAATTTGTTGCTTGCAAATCTTTGTCGGTTTTCCTGCATTTCAGCCATGGCGTATACGTAACCACCGCTTGCCATGCGTTTGCACCGACTGCCGTTATTTCGAATTTTATTCAATTGCATGCGTCATACATTTATGCATGCGTGTGTGCTGTTTGCACATTTCGGCCATTTTGTCGCATGACTATTTGCCAGGAGTGTGTGAAGCGAATTTCGAATTTCAGGTGCAGCAAACAACTCGACGTGGGCGCTGTAAATTCACTTTATTAGGCATAAACTTGCATAGTGTCAGGCGTAAATTGTTGCTACCACTTGCAGTTGAAAGTGTTTTGTTGTGCATAATAAACGCACATACATGTATGAATTTGTGCGTACTAAACCTATATGTACAGCTATTATCCTTAGCCGCTTAACCAAGTATGTGCGCTTTCGAAGTGGAGCATTGTTATTTACTCTGTAAAAATAAATATATTTCATATATTATTATATCTCTGTGAATTTACTCATACTACTCTGCTATATATACCTACATACACATATTTTGCATGCCCTGCATTTATGAACGCTCAGCATCCAGCATCTTATTCAATCAACTCGTTCTTCGTCGCCTGGGCTCTTCATTTGCCTTTCTTCGTAGCTTCCTTTATGCCAGCGCTGTTATTATTGCATAATAAGTGCATTTTGATGCAGACAGCCCAGAACTTGCTAAACTTTCACTCTGCAGCTATTCACCTTATTTTCTCGCTTTATGCCCATTACTCTTATTTACTTTGCTGGCAAGTGCTTACGTTCGATTACTCTGCTACAAATTTGCTACTTGCATTTCCGCTTCACTGGCCGCCATTATTATTACTATTATTATCTTCGAATATGCTTATGACTTCACATTTTAGACATAAGTACGTATAATACGTAATTTCGTAGAAACTATAACACAGTATAGCTTTGTGGCTACATACATTTAGAAAGCTTTTCTCTCCAACACTCACTCACTCACATATAGCAGGACGGGAATAATGGAGTCACTTGTAGAGTTTGGTCCTTGTTCGTCGAGAGAGAACTTTTTTTAAATTGTTTTTCTATTTAGATTTGCTTTCAATCCGACCATGTCAGTTCATCATCTCTGTATTTGAATAGCTCGCCGGTAATCCATTGGCTCCTGCCGCGTTGTTGCTTATCAGGCGGGTAGTCGTTGTTCGAATTTCATCATAGTCGGTCAATGAAATCGGGTTCGTCATCTCCAGTATTTACACTTTCACTGCCGTTCAGTTCCCTTCACAACTTCAGTATGCTCTGAACATCGTTCCCCACGTTGGGTTGTACAAGAGTATGGTCCGGCGTTGAAACCTTCCATTAGTCGCCCCATCTTTTCGTAGAATTTTCGAGCATTGCCCCTATCGGCCAGATTCTCCAGCTCTTCATACTCACGCTTTTCGGCCTCTTTCTATTTTTACTTGCCTATCTTCCCTGTGTTTTTTGACGGATGTGCTTTGCTATACAGAGGCGTGTGCATATTTTCGCCACGACAAGATAGGGGTCCGAGTCGACGTTAGGTATTCTCAGCGTATGCACATCGAGTACCCTGGAGACGTGAGGGTCCATCTATCACAACATGATCAATTTAGTTACGAACTCTTCTGTGTAAGCAGTTATAGTTGTAGGGCTATACTCAACTCCTAACCTTGCGTTCTCGCTGCGCACCCTGGAAACGTGAGGCTTCATCAAGATTTTCGTTATTAGTTAGTGTAGATGTATAAATTCTTTGACGAATTCATAAAACTAGCTTGTAGAAGTTCAAATATTAGTCCTTATAAGTGATGTGTCATTCTTAAAAGACATTTTTTTCTGATTTTGTATCTCCTATAACATGCCTGGTACGTGTCTACCAGCCCCCAACTCAACTGGTCTTCAACTAACCATGTTCACCTGTGGTATTAGAATTCCCTAACAGCAAGCTGCTGTGTAAACACCTACTCCTGTTAGCTTTTCAATTTATACAATCTTTCTTATGCGCTTCATTTTACCAACGGGACAACGCCGGCATTTCAATCTAAAGAAACTTATTATGTGCAACAAAACCGCGTTGATGAGTCGATGAAATGATTTATTAGAAGTTGTGCACACACACACAAAACGTCCATGACAAACTGCACCACAAATAACCTGTGGCCTATGCGCCGCGCTAGACAGGCTCGCTGATTGCGTCGCGAGGTGTGACGAGCTGTGCGGAGCCGCCGACAAGTTGTGCATAGCGGTGATGAGTAGCTGTTTTGATTTGAAGTGCTCAAGTGCTGAAGTTATGTGCATTATGGGCATGTGTAGCAAGTTGTGTGCAGTTGGGCGGCGTGTTGCCTGTGGCAAGTAGCACAAGCGAAGTTTAATGCGTGGCACAAGTTGAAGCGCCCACTCAGATTTGCATGACAGAAGACAGCAATTTGTAGCCATTTTCAATAGAATGCTGCAATTGCAAGCAAGTTTGGCATGTGCAGGCAGTGTGTGCCCCTCCGCTGATTACTGTGCTGCCTCGTTTGTTGTATAATTGAATACTGAAATGGGATTTCATTAAAGCGCCTTTTCTTGCGCACCACCACCACCTACTTCCTTCTCCCTTTTGCGGGCACTGTGCTCTTCGAAGCAAAGCGCAAAGCTTTTAAAATGGGATTGCATTTACCTTACTGAGTTAAGGTAACGCTTTTGAAATTTGTTAACACATCACATTTCATTACATTCCCAATAGATATTACCTCTGTATCCCGGCCTTTCCTCTCTCCCTTCTTTTTCCGCAAAGTGTGCATTTTGCCAGGAAATTTCGTAAATAATGAGAATCCAATTAAATTCGCCTTGCACTTTTTCCATGCCACTGTTGCAAGTAACTTGAACTCATTGTTGCTTAATTCTTTAGTGACTTACTGTCTGGGAAAATGATAAATTCTCATAAAATATGCAGTTACCTGGCAGATGTTAGCTAACTTCGATTAACTAACTCACCCTCTGCGGCATGCATGTTGCATGCTAGCATACGAGTATACCATAAGTTAGCCGAGGTGTTGAAATTAATTTTATTTTCTCTATCACCAAATAATTTTCGACCAGTTTGTTTAGTAATGATTATAAATTATTGTGCAGGGATTTGCATAGCCATCATAGCTGTAAATTTATCGCAATGTTGCAGATGCAAATTGCTGACCTTAAGTTCGTGGCACACAATTTATTATAATAATTTGTGATGGTTTTTGCATACTAATTTTACTACTAAACATTTGAGATATTAAAAAGTTCGTATTTAGACCTTTTGGGATATTTTATAAAGTGCCACAGCTATTAGAATGCAATATAACACTCGTGTGGCCTACTCGTTAGCATTAAGGAGGATAATATATTTTTATTTTGCTAAATTATTTATGAGTTTTAAACCACACAGTTGATGTTAAGCCCGAAATCAGCTGAGCTGTAGAACTGGTATAAGCTGGTATAAGCTTGCTAAAGAAGCAAATATCTCAAATCATATTGATTTGGTGCACAAAGAAGTTAATGTTAACAAGCGCGATATGTATTCCTTTAACCCCCCACTTTTTATCTTCCATATAGGAAAAGAAATGTTTGCTGAGAGCCGAAAAGTTAAGGTTAGTTTAGTTTAGGTTAATCGATTCTCGATTTCATGCCTTACCGTACAAATGCCTAATCGAAAGTGTTCAGTAAGAGCTCCTAAAATTGGCTCAAGATAAACTTTGCTCAGGACAAGTAACTCCGTTGGCCTCAGCGACCCATCTTCATAGCAGCTACTTTTCCCTGAAAAACACCACAGTGATCTGGTAGCCTAAAGCTAAGAATAACGGAGAGTTCTCCAATGACTTGTGCTCATTCACATATCCCTTGTCGGGATGTGACCAGAAAAAAAGTTTTCAAGTTTTCAAGTTTTCTGAAATGCAATTGAAGAAGAAGAGAATCTTGAGGCCTCTCCTACGGTCGAACATATCATAGAACATAAAAGGATTGTCTATGTTTTCGTAGAACCAAACCACTACTTTTGTTAAGAGTCCACGCCTTTTCCCTTTAGCTCTTGAACAGCAATATAAAGCAAACGATGTTGTACAAAGCCGACCAGCGCAAAGAAGAAGTCACTCACACCTACCACCCTAACTTGTCGACGGGAGGGGAATATGCTCAAAGGCCGCGTGCAGCTTTGGCATTAACCCATGGGCCATTTCCACAGGGTTTCACCTCTCCACACTCAGATGACAGAATACCATGACTTTTAGTCCAGCGTTCAAACCGATCCATTTAATAGTTCAAGCTATGTCCGCGTTAAAGCAATCGGTAAAAATCCGTAGGAGTCTAAAAAAGGGCATTTAGCGTTGACGTAAGGAAAATAATTTTGTGTGAATAAATTTCGAAGAACTCCCTATCTCAGTCAATGGTTCGAAATCGGTCTATGTTAGAGTACACACATCCTCAAGATCTGTTAGGAAAGGTAACTTTTTGAGCAGTTAATGGTATGTATTGTATATGGAGCTTTACACCAGTTACATTACATTACCCGCTTTATTTTATTCCAAAATCTAATTAACATTAAAATCTAAAAAACAGTAAACAAAGTTGATTTTTTATTAATGAAAATTTTTCATTTTATAGTCCTAATAGTAGCTGCTAAAGCTATTTTCCTCTGCTTTCGTGACGAGTGGAACTCTTTTTGGGCTCATTTTCTTCCTCTCCTCACCGCCGACGTCGACGCTTTATTTTGGGTGGTTCTATGAATCTAACGCGAGTAGGACGTTTCACAAAGACTTTTCTGCCACCAGAGTCTACTTGATTTGCCCATGAGCCGGGAGAGTTGTCAGATGCGGCATATTCGCGTAAACGCATTCTATAAACAAAAATTTAGTTTAATCACATACAATGTTTATATTATTATATGTGTTATAAGCCCACCCGAGTAAACTTGAGCTACGAATGACACCGATCGCTGCTTGCTTCTCATAGAGCATGACCAAGCAAATGCAGAGGAGTAGCACGATAAAGAGAATGATGAGTATGCCAAAGGCGCCGATGTGAAAACTATGCTGTAACAAAGTTTAACTAAAAAAATATTGAATATAACTTGCCAGAATCTCACCAGAGAGCACTCGATGCACTCGTACATTTCACGTGATACTCCTAAACTGGCGAAACGCAGATCTTCACAGCGTGGAAACTGCTCAAACAGCGGTGCCACTTGGCTTATCAGCTCTCGCGCCAGCAACTCACTTATATTTCCGATCTTCTCTTGCAGCAGATTCTCGAGCGTATGACAGAAATCGGATAACTCCTCCGCCTCACGTAATACTCGCTTAATAAGACGAGTTAGATTGTTGCCCGGTAAATGGGTGCGAAGTGTCCCAGACTGCTGCGTCAGCTTGAATATGCTTGCAACAATGTTGCGTTTGAAGAGTTGCTCGAAAATGTATTCTCTAATCGTATGCAAATTGCAAGCGAGCATTTTCTGTTGATTATTGCTGAGCTCCGAGTTTGACTCAGCTAAGTTGTAGTTGTGCAACGTGTTGTATAATTCATACCAATTTTCCAAGTTCAGCTCCTGCCGCGCAACTTCAAACATGGCGCCAGAACGGAAGATCTGTTCGAAGAAAGGCAATTGCTGGTTAAGCTCTTGAGTCCATAATTGTGTTTCTCGCTTGTTGTTGTAGTCATATATGCTGCTACATAAATCGTTTATCGAACAGCTAGTGAGTGAGAGTCTTAGATTATCCTGTGCCGATCCGCTAGAACGCACTTGATTATGCAAGCTACAGTAATGGAATTGTGTTGCATTGCAGAAATCTTCATTTTCATTGCTGAAAGATAAGATAGACTTATATTTGGACCATGGGTTAAGTTAATATCTCGAACACTCACATCTCTCTGTGGTAATTGTAATAGACAACGCCATGTAGAAAGTGCCATATTGCAAATACGCAGAGGAGTAACAAGCTAACCGAAATAGTGATAATGATGCTGAAAAATGTACGAAAAGAGGGTGTTCTAATAGGGATCTAAGCGCTAAATGTAGTGCCTAAAACCGAACTTCGTCCAGCTTTGTCTACTGCTTGCCAGGTTCACCTACCTCGTCAAAAAATACCGGGTGATGGTGCGATTCCTCGCACCAATTACAAAATCTCCCAGGTATACGAAGAGTAAAGCGAGTATTAGAGTAGCTACTATGCCATAGACCGCTTCCAGGTGGCTCAAGTTGGGTGACAAAAAGAAGTCTGCGTTTGTGCCCGTCCCACGGTGAATACTTGCGAGCTGTGCGAACTTTTTCTCATCGAGTGAGGCGTACTCGAGCGCTAAATATAAAACGCAGATTTTTGTTTGAGACGAAATATTAGGTATCAATGGTACTTACTCTTCCTTGTCACGGTTGCATTCAGGTCTTTGCCGAGCATATCGAACTCAGTGTACATATTAGTTGTTAGGTTTTCACGCATGTCGTTCAGAGTGGAAGCGAAGAGGACTAATTCCAAGAATTTTACTAAAGCGTTATTGATGTTCAGGAGCTAGAGGAGAGAAAAGAAACGATTAGAATCATTGGAATACAAATAAACTAATATAAAGAATTTTAACGGTTTCTTAACCGATAAGTTTCGGTTAAGTTTGACCAAGTTAAATAACGGAAGGTAAGAATTAGTGTAAACATTTTAAATATCTCGAAATGGGTTTACTTAGATTTCAATGTTTTCAGTCAATTGGACTACATTTGTTTAAGTGGGGAACAGCTTATTAAGGGAAAAATTTGGAAAATATTTACTCGAAGAATGGTCGCCTTTTGGCTGGCAATGTAGAAACATCGAGTCTTTTCAGACACGAAAATTCGTCTATTCAAAATTCTGTGTCCAAGGGTCCGAAAAGGTATAATAACACACTTCGCGAGCAAAATTTTTTCATTACCATCACAATCTGTTGCTCATTTGCCTCAAATTCGTTGAACAGTAGCGCCGAATAATCATTAAAATTTATGGACTGCAAATCCAATAATGCTGTGGTGTTACGATAGAAGAAGCGGGTATCTAAAGAAAAGAAAGTAAAGCAGATGTAAAATTACTTAGAATAAAAGAGGCCGGGACTCTAAAGAAAGTAGTAGAATTATACAATCGTATGCTAAAGTAACACATCTCAGTTCGCAGGTAGAAGAAAAAGCATTGCTGATATGGGTAGATACGCTCGAATGCTAATCTACTTTAAACCCTCTTTCAAGAAATATTGTATATAAGTTCAATCAAGTGAGGAAAGTTCTCTGAGCGATATTGATTTGAGAGTGCTCAGAAATGACTTATAGCTCAAGTAGCTCACGACTTCTGGTCGTAGACCAAGTATCTGAGAAGGCGAAAAAAAAAATTGGAGTGATAAGGCAAATCATCCCTCACCAGATTTCTGAGCCGGGTTTGGAATACGAGGAACACCTCCACCTCGTTAGAAAGACCAGGTGGAGAGGGACCTGGCTACACTTGGAATCTCCAATGGCCACCAAACAGCGAAAAGGAAGAAGGACTAAGCCAATATAGAAGAAGATACTTCAACGGTTTGTCGACTTCACAAAACAAGATAGTATCGACAAACAATTTGTGGTTTAAAGTATGAATAAACTAATCTAGTTTCTAAAAGTCTTCAAGGTCTTCACTTACGATCACTTAGTTGCATGACATCCGCTATAAGATTATGTAGCTCCGCCTGCATTTTCTGTATGAGCGGCAGCAGATCTATAATTTTAACGGATAATTTTCCCAAAATACTGCGTTCCCCCTTCTGTATGACCTTCGGAGCAACGATCTCTGCTTGTGCAGTTAAATCTGGTGGCGAAAGAAATAAAAAATAATTGAAGTAATTTTATATTTAACATTCGGAAAATTATATTTACACTGCGAAAAATTTTTCACTTCTTTTCTTATGTGATCGAGGTGTTGCGCGGACAATGGCTCGACTCGGAGCGGTAGTATATATTTTTCGAAGAAACCGCTAAGACGCAAATTTTCAGCATTAGCATCTTTGGTGCCATTATGTATCGTTTCTGTCGAGGCATAAGATTCAAATGCAAGCCACAGAAAGAAGCTGTTCAATAAGAGTAATAAAAATAGAAACTGTTAGTTAATTTGAAATTGAGAAGCAGCGGAAAAGATACGCACATATATGGCAAGACTAGAAAGAAGATTGTAATCGACAGCGCTAAACGCAAGTAACGCTCAAATGTATTTTCGGCACGATATGTCTTCTGATGCACGCACTCGTAAAGGAACCAAGTCAGGCTGGGAAAAAATAATTCTTTAGACACAATATTACGAGCACTCAATTTGCTATACACACCCTAGTACAGTCATGATTATGGAGGTGCACAGAAATCCGATTAAAGCGGGAAACTCGCGCAGTTGATTTTGCCAATCCGCATGGAGGAGTAGACGCGCGAAGCCATGACAGTCAAAATATCCTGCCGCATATTGAGAGTGTGTGAGAAGCGTTATTCAATGTGTGATATACACACATACATATCCAGTAACTTTTTTAACAAACCTTCCATTAACTCTCGCGGTATGCGCATGGAGTAAAATGACGTTGACGCATTGACAATTTGACCCACGATTTCGGGCAGTGGGCACTGAAAGGCGTCGCTGGTTAAATTCATTAATTATTTAGGGCGCTCAGTGCGCGCTACGTCAAAAACAGATTTTTAAATTTTTATATTTTCTAAAATTTGACACGATGTTTTATAAGCTTTTCTATAATAAATAACTTTCAACGCGAAATTTAGTAAAATTGATTTTTTTACGAAGCTAGCAATTTTTTTCATATTTGAAAAATCGTTTTGAAAATAAAAATGTTTGATTTGATATACTAGAAAAACAGTGTTGGAGAGTGTGGAATGTAAATATCGAAGGTGCTGTCTTGTTCAGACGTCAAAAACTTCAAAAAAAAAAAAAAAAAAAAAAAAAAAAAAA